ACACCAGAGACCAAGGAACAGTCGAAACAGTGGACTTCACCTGGCGAAGGTGCTCCGAAGAAGGCGAAGACTGTCCTATCGGCCGGAAAGGTGATGGCCACCGTTTTTTGGGATTCAAAAGGTGTGATCTACATCGACTACCTGGACAAGGGTAAAACGGTCACAGGGCTCTACTATGCCGGATTATTGGGCCGATTCGACGCCGAGTTGCAGGAAAAACGGCCTCATTTGGCGAAGAAAAAAGTGCTCTTCCACCATGACAACGCACCGGCTCACACCTCCGCCGTCGTCACGGCCAAATTGGTCGAATTAGGCTACGAACTGCTGCCTCATCCACCGTATTCTCCAGATTTGGCCCCGTGCGACTTCTTTTTGTTTCCAAACTTGAAAAAGTCACTCGCCGGGCAGAAATTTGAGTCGAATGAGGAGGTTGTCGCCGCCACGGAGGCCTACTTTGCAGACCTCCAGAAAACGTATTTTTCAGACAGGTTAAAGAAGTTGGAACATCGCTGGATCAAGTGTATCGAGCTGAAAGGAGACTATGTAGAGAAATAAATCGCCACTTTTCCAAAATTTTCGTTTTTCTTTTGTAAGCTAAGTACTTATCGGACCGCCCTCGTATATTATGAGTGACACATTAGTGGAGGAATGTGACAACCTCAGACTCCTTGCACAAACCAATATATTAACACAACGATAATACAACATGGTATCGAATAAGAATGAGAATATTATTGAATAGCTTGATCTAATTTCACATTTTACATAATTGAAAAATTCGATACATTGCATTAAAATTTGTGTTCCATACAAACATTATATTACAGATCATGTACGTAGTCTGTCCAATAAAGAGAAAATTTTTCAATTTATATATTTAGTTGAAGCAGCATTCAAAATTGCTTCCTTGAATGTTACAAAATTTAAACGACAATACTTTGAGACATTCAAATTGAAAATGTTTGTGATTTACTAATGAAAGTAATAGTAGTATAGTTATATTTCGGTCGTGAAATTGTATTAAAACAGATAATTTCTTCTGTCTTTCCATATGAGATTATTGTGTTTGCATTTATATATGCACTTTCGGGTGTAAATTTGATTAATACAAGCTATATAGTTTATCATGTTTTTTATCAAAGCATGAGTAAATAATGCAACTTTGGTATTTGTAATAATTTTCTAAATATCTAGAAAAGTGTGACATGGAATAAAAAAAAAACAATCCTGATTGTAGCATAGTTATGTATTATGCTACAACGTAATTCATAAACATTATAAACTGAAAATTGTTGTGTTATACAGGGTGGCGCAAAATGATCTTTATGTTTTAAATTCTTTATAACTTTTTTAATTCAACATTTTTTCAATTTTTTCTTTCAGAATGTTGTAAACAAGACTTCTAGAATTTAATATGGAAAGATACACAATTGAACAACGAACAAAAATCATCGAATTTTATTTTGAAAACCGACGGTCAATAGTTTTGACGCAGCGTGCATATCGTCGATATTTCAATGTGCCGACGGCACCAACAGTGCCAACAATACATCGTTTGATTGCAAATTTTCAACAAGGAGGGTCAGTGAGGAACCTCCCCAGTACAGGAAGACCTCGTACGGCGCACACAAATGAAAATATCCAACGTGTACTGGAGAGTGTGCAGGATAACCCAGAAACATCAACAAGGAGACGCTCGGCTCAACCCGGGCTATCGCGAAGATCCCTTCAGAGAATTTTAGCCACATTGCACATGTTCCCATATAAGATCCAGCTTGTGCAAGAATTAAAGCCGACAGACTACGCGCAACGGATGGATTATGTCATTTCGTTGCTTGAAAAACAAGACCAGAGTACCGATTTCATCCACAATTTGATAATGAGCGATGAAGCTCATTTCGAATTAAATGGTTTTGTTAACAAGCAAAACTGCAGGATATGGGCTACGGAGAATCCAAGAGCAGTTCATCAGCAACAATTACACCCACTCAAGTGTACTGTTTGGTGCGGTATATCGTCCGAAAGGATCATTGGCCCATATTTTTTCGAAAATGAAGCCGGTAATGCAATTACCATCAATGCTGCTCAATATCGGGCAATGTTGGAAAACTTTTTGAGGCCAGCGGTGGAAAACCATCCCCAACTGTGGTTCCAACAAGGTGGAGCCACAGCGCATACTGCAAGGGAAACAATGGCTTTGTTACGAGACATCTTTGGCGAACGCATTATTTCGCGCAATAGTGACTTTAACTGGCCACCGCGTTCACCGGACTTAAGCGCTCCCGACTGTTTTCTTTGGGGGTATTTGAAAGAGCGAGTATACGTCAATAAGCCAGCGACCATCCCCCAACTGAAAACCAATATTCGCAATGAAATCCGTGTAATAACACCTGAAATTTTGCGAAAAGTCATGGAAAATGTGTTGGAAAGAGCACGAATGTGTCAAGCAGAAAATGGCCGCCATTTGCGAGATGTAATCTTTCGCGTCTAGTTCAATAAAATTCCTCTTCTGTACACTATATTTTTTCCAATATGTATTTATTTCACTCTAAAATAAAAAAAGTAAATAAAAATAATGTTGAGTGTAATAAATTTGTCTTGTTTTTTTTTTCAGTTTCTTTAATTGTGGCATCACTGAATACTGAAACGTATGTCCTAATGTGAAGTTCTACCAGCACAGACTGTAAAAGCCCTTTTATCATCGTATGAGTCTTTGCATGCCTTTTTTATTCCTCCAGTTCCCAATCATGCTATAGGACGATCAGTCCAAAGTGGCACGGGCAACTGGTTGTATATATGCTAAATTTGACGAGTACAGTGAACGTGGGTATGCTATCATACCTTCGAGTAGTAACATTGATCAATCGTATCTCTTAGCTAGAGTAGGGTCTTCTTATACATAGCATTTTCTACTACTGATACAATTAATAAAAATTTTATAATTGTACAAAGCAGTATTAATACTCTTAATATTCAAAGCATGTTCTTGAATCCATTATACAGGGTGGGCCATCTAACGTTTGGAATTGGAACTATAGGTTATTTTGAGGTTGGAAGGTTTTATGACATTTTCGATGTGACAGAAAGTTAGTTTTATGTTTCACATTTACAAAATGGGTCGCTTTTCGCTTGAACAAAATTGGGAAATATTAAAAACTTATTTTCAAAGTGGTGTAAGAATTTTAGAAGTCAAATACTGATACCTCGGATAAATTATCAGTATTGTCCAACGTTGCCCTCTCTTCTGACAACGTTCGTATATTGTATGAAGAGGATATAGAGACCAGGCTATTAATGGAAGACGAAGGACAAGTGTTGACAGATAGTCTACACTTTGATAGTATAACTCGTAACATCAAGACACTACGCGTACATATTTGGATAATATCATTTCTATTATTTCTGATATTTGTGTTCACCATCAGCGTTCTTGCGTTAGTGATTGAGATGAGGGGATTTGAGAGCACACTGACTCGTGTGTATATACTACTGTGATCAAAAAGTAAGGTGAAATTGTCATTTAAAACTCCCGGGCATTAGGAAGGCAGGTAAATTTTTTTTCCTACGTTGGTAGGACTGTCTATGACATTTGCCAAGCGTCTGTTTGTCAAAAGGTTTAATTATCTCCGAGTTACACGTGTTTTTGTAAACAACCAAAAGTGAATTTTTCGATTTTTACAATGGGTGATTTTGTTGAGCAAAGAACTTGCATCAAATTTTGTTTGCGGAACGAATATTCTTGTGCGGACACGTTGAAAATGTTGCGGAAGGCCTTTGGTGATCAAACTATGGCACAAAAAAACGTGTATAAGTGGTACAACGAGTTCAAAGCGGGCCGAGAACGCGTTGAAGACGAACCGCGCTCTGGACGACCATCAACGTCTACCGACGAGGGCCACGTCCAAAAAATCAAAGATTTGGTGCTTGAAAATCGTCGATTGACAATTAGAGACCTCGCTGATAGTGTTGGAATATCATTTGGCTCAGTCCAAACCATTTTGAAGAATGTTTTGTGTCTCAAACGCGTCAAGTCTCGATTGGTGCCAAAATCGCTCAATTTTTTTGAAAAAAAGCGTCGCGTTGATGTGTGTGAAACTTTGCTGTCTGACTATCAGGACCACTTGAAATGCATCATCACTGGAGACGAGACTTGGATTTACGCATACGACCCTGAAACCACCGACCAATCCAGCGAATATCGTGCAAAAGGTGAAGCAAGACCGAAAAGACCACGGCAAAGTCGATCGAAGATCAAGGTGATGTTGACAGTTTTCTTTGATTATCGTGGTGTGGTGCACTATGAATTCCTTCCGCCGGGCCAAACTGTCAACAAAGAATATTATTTGAGCGTTATGCGTCGTTGGCGTGAAGCTATTCGTCTGAAACGGCCGGAATTATGGGCGAACAACTCTTGGTTCCTTCATCACGATAATGCACCATGTCATACTGCATTGGTTCTGCGCGACTTTTTTGGCAAAAACTCGACTCATATCGTTCCGCAACCACCGTATTCGCCTGATTTGGCTCCGTGCGACTTCTGGCTATTCAGCAAACTCAAAAGGCCAATGCGGGGACGCCGTTTTGACACGATTGAGGAGATAAAAACCGAATCGAAGAAGGTCTTGAAGGCTATACCGGAAAAAGACTATTCCGACTGTTTCGAGGACTGGAAAAAGCTTTTGACCCCCAAAGCAAATGACAGGAGAATCATAGATTAAATCTCTGGTCTCTTTTTAGTCTGTATATTCTGCTTCCGATTTTGTGTACGTGACCCAACTAGAGACTATGGCTACGCCTCCCATTCCAGACACTGTGAAATTGATTTAGAGGGAAATCGAAAACGCTCGCAAATTGTTGGGAAAAGTGCGTTTTATCGGACGGGGATTACTTTGAAGGGGATGAAATTGATTTGGAAGAATAAATAAAGAATTTACATTTTATAAACAAATTCACCTTACTTTTTGATCACAGTAGTACATCTATTTGACGAGTCACTTTGCAAGTAGTATGGAACCCGGAGCCCAGTCGGTTGTGAGGGGGGTGTGGAGACCTGAAGTGGCCCACATTCCAAGTGCAGATGACTTTAAAACCGTGTTCTGCTCCCCTTTGCCTGTTGTGGCTGTAAGAAATTTACGAAAAAAATTTGACAAACAGGATGTGCCAAAGACGCAGTTTGTGGATCAATTTGTGAAGCGAGTTCGTGAAACTGGATCGTTGTTGGATAAAACAACCCGTGTACGTACTCGTCCAGTGCGCTTAACCGAAAACATCGCTGCTGTTGCTCAGAGTGTGCGTGAACAACCATCAACATCAACTCGTCATCGTTCTCAAGAATTGAACATTTCACGCACTTCTTTGAGAAGAATTTTGCATAAAGATCTCGGTATGAATGCGTATAAAGTTCAATTAGTGCAAGAGCTGAAGCCGCATGACCATCCGATGCGTTTTCGGTTTGCTCAATGGGCCGAAGATCGCTTGATCGAAGATGAGCATTTTTACCGAAAAATCATCTTTTCAGATGAAGCTCATTTCCACCTCGGAGGATACGTCAATAAGCAAAATTGTCGTATCTGGGGCTCAGAAAATCCACACGTCATCGTGGAAAAACCAATGCATCCGCAACGAGTGACTGTCTGGTGCGGATTTTGGTCTGGCGGCATTATTGGGCCATTTTTCTTCGAAAATGAGCAAGGAAACGCCGTTACAGTGAATGGCGATCGCTACCGCGCCATGCTAAGCGATTTTTTGTTTCCCAAAATTGAAGAGGATGACATAGACGACATTTGGTTTCAACAGGACGGCGCAACGTGCTACATAGCCAACGTAACAATCGATCTTTTGCGCACTGTTTTCGAAAATCGCAAATCAGCCGAAATGCTGATGTCAATTGGCCACCTCGAAGCTGCGATTTGACTCCGTTGGATTTTTTTTTGTGGGGAGCCGTTAAGGACAAGTGTTACGCTAACCATCCAGAGACGATTGACGACTTGAAACATGAAATCGAAGTTGCCATTGACGAAATAGAGGCCCAAACAATCGAAAATGTACTGAAAAATTGGACTGATCGAATGGGGTATTGTAAGGCTAGCCGTGGCAGTCATTTGAATGATGTTGTCTTCCATTCCTAAATGGAAAGGTTCAATCTTTCTAATAAACTCATAACTTTGAAAAAATATTCATTAGTTTTTTTTTATAGCCGATTCAAATTCCAAATCTTAAATGGCCCACCCTGTATATATAAATCTCTATAGGCTAGAATATATTGAATGCATATAAAGGGTGTTACAATAGTTTGGACAGATGTTAAATGTGAACGGAGCTTAAACGTCAATTGTTTTTTGAGGTTTGTTTTTTGTTTTGACATCTTCAGTCATTTACAAATTGAATCATGGAAAAGTTTTAGTCGTTTATGACTTTTGTTCAAATTTGACATTTTCTTTGTTATTCTAGCAATGCAAGGCCAGAAGGCTGAAATCCCTTCCACTGGAAAACCAGTGATGAACCGGAATGCGCGGCGAATGTTTGCGTATAATACACGTAAATACAACGACGCCCCATTAGCAACAAATTGGGCCGATGAGTCTGAACCCCCACAGATGAAATCATCTGGGAGGGCAAAGCAAACCAATCGTTCTCGTGGATTTAGGAAGGATGGTAAACCACCTACTAAACCAGCGGTGATAACAGATCCCGCGGAGGTAACACCCCAAGCTGTGAAAGCCAGCGAAGAGGTGTTAAGAGATGAACCTTTATGGCAGGAGGGTCCGTATACCGGTACCCGTAAAAACGTAAACATAAAATAGTATTGTACGCTCTACCGTCAAATACTACCAACTTAAGGGGTTACGCCACCCTGGAATCTTAAAAAAATCGATTTTTTTTTTGCATTTTCCTTTAATTTAAAGATTTGGAAATAATTTAAGCCATGGTAGATGCAGCAACTCTTAAAAATAGCCAAGTTATAGGACTTTAAAGGAGGCACGGCGTCGGCCGTTTCGAAGCAGGTAGCGACCATCTGCTGCGCAGGAGGGTTACCTTGTATTGTTCACTACTGACTATTTTCAAAGTGTTTGTGGGCTGGCTGCATTGGTGTATGGCAGAGGTTCCGAAAGATTCACTCAGTCTTTCGCAAGTATTGTCAGAGTAAGCATCATTTCCAGCAGTTTCGAGAAGTTTTTAATAATGTCACAAAAAACATATCTCGATCAGAAGGGTTCGAGAAAACATACCGGACGTCCTTCTACAGGTCGTAAAAGGAAACAGCATCCGGTAAATCGGTATTTGATGGAAAGTGAGAAAGCCAGCACGAGTACATCGGCGAAAAAATTAAAAGAAAGTGAAAATGTCGACATAGAAATCGACGCAACGTTTGGCTACCGAATATTAAATTTTGTGACTGTCTTCTCAGCCATTAGTGGAGCAGTAAAGTGCAAAGTGTGTGATGGCGAACTGAAATTCACAGAGTCGTCTATTCGTGGACTCGGTTTTAAA